CCCCACCCCCAACCCATTGTCGGCCCACCCCAAACAGCCTCGATTGCTGGCGAGGCCGAGGGACCCCACCAGTGCATGAATTCATGCACCAGGCCTCTAGTAATAAACAAAGGAGTGCAGCCTTTTAGCTGACCTAGAAGCAAGGAGATTTTTCCAGGCCAGGCTCAGAATTGTGGGAGGAAATCCTGAGGATTGGGGAGGGTGGGGGCAGGGCGTGGGGGCAAGGGAGACTGTCTCCTTGGAGACTGGGATGCTATAGGAAGGCCAAGTCAGGGGGTCATGGGAGAGGGGGAGGGAGCACTGGACAAGGAGGCCCGGGGTGAACCCAGCGGCCTGTGGATCCTACACAAGTCCCTTCCCATCGGTGCCTCGGTCTCCCCCCCAAGCCCTTGGAGGAAGAGGAGGGCAGACGAGATGATCCTTGGAGCCCCTTTACCTCAGGCTCCTGGGCTGATGTGGGGAGAGGGCCTGGGTCTCCCTGCCCACCTGGGCTTCCAGGGCTGCCTCACCTGCGCTTCCTGCGCATCCAGTCCTTGACTTCCAGGTCCGGGAGCCCCATCCACTGGCCTTGGCTCAGGGTCACCATGGAGCCTTCAATGGACTGTGTGGAAAAAGGGTCCTTTGGTCCAGACCTCTGCTAGCCCCCAACCCACTTGGGCTGGAGGACATGGGTCCTGAGCTCACTGGGAAAGGAAAGTGGGAGAGGAGGAGGAGGGGGAAGAGAAAGAGGAGGAAGAGGGGGGAGAGGGGAGGAGGGGGAAGCTAATAGGAAAGCTGGGAAATGGAAGAGCCCTACCCCTGACTTAGGGAGGGAGTCTCCCCAAGACTTTGGTAGATTCGCCCCAAATCGCCTCGCACCCTCCTGGTCCCACTTACATGCCAGGCTCCCCCAGGCAGGTTCCGGCCCAGGACCACGTGGGGGATGGCTCGCTCCTTCTGGAGCTTCCAGGTGAGGACGGACTCCGTGTTCCCCCCAAAGTCTGTGTCTGGACGCAGGAGGGCGTCAAAGAGCAGGGCCACAGGGCTCTGGCACCGGCCTTCGAGGCCCTCAGACAGGTAATCCAGGTCCTGGAAGGGAGCGGCACGGGTCAGGGGCCACCCGGGGAAGGGCCGGCTCTGCATTCCCACCCTCCATCAGCGTGGCCGGGGACTGGGGAATGCTGCCTCTCGAGGGCACGTTAAGGGGTCTGACGAGTCCTGCAGCTGCCCTTTGCCTGTGTCTCTCAGATGTGCATGAGTAGGAAGACTTTCTCTGCACATCATACTGAGGAGCTAGCGTCCTGTTGTGAGAAAGAGCTTTGAAAAATGCTGATCTACACCAACCATCGGCTTACTCCCTCATCCACCAGCTCGAGTGGCAGGTGGGGTGGCTGGTCACCTGGAGGATGGATGCT